ACACACACACACACACACACACACACACACACACACACACACACACTGCTCATGCGCAGTCCAGACTCGGTCTGTTTTGAGCTCGGCCTGCCTCACTCTTCTATTTCCAGTCTCAATGGATTCGGTCTGTATTCAGTCAGGACGTGGGAGCTTTCTACAGTCACTTAAGCGTCTTTCGTCCCAGTGGAGCAGTTCTGTTGTGACCTTCACATTCCTCACAGTTGTCTAACTCGTTAGGTTCTCAGGAGAAAAGTCCTGGTTCCCACCCTTATTTTGCTGTAAAACTACTCCTTATTTGACCTTCTACTCTTTCATCAATCCCCTTATGTCATATCTCCTGTCAGTTTTATTATATCTCCATTGATGCTGGGTATTAGATCTTATTTTGGTTCCAACGGAAATGTGATGAGACTGAGGGCGTTTCCACCCTTACCTTGTGTGGAATGGACATTCGGAATCTTAAGTAAAGGCCAAACCAAAATAACAGGTCTGAAAGACGCCTCAGAAAACCAATGGACCAAGTTTTAATGCTAGTAATACCATAATTACATTACAGTTGCAACAAAAATAAGTTAATTGATTTTCTCCATTCAAACGGAAATACTATCTATGCACCTAATTCCAAAAAGTTAGCGGATGTCACATGCACTCCGTCTACAAACCAATCAGTGGCTATAGACCCACACAGGTGATGACGATAGGACATATGTATATCAAACGTAACCTCATTTTTTACTGTGCTCCCTGAAGCTGCTTTCAGAGAGGCTCTGAACTCCAGATAATCACCCGACATTCTTTGTACTGTACGTGAGAACGCAAATGACCGAGTGCGAGGCTCCGGACCTTCTCTGCAGTTTTTCCTACCAACCCCCCCAGCGAAAACTTTGGATAATGTTTGAATGAGCTAATGTGATAACACAGCAGGTTTCTAACACACTACAGATGCAAAAATATAAAAAACAATGCTGTACCCTGCAGGGCAACAGCTTTACAATCCTTCCCTTTCTCAACCTCTAGTGTTACTCCACTTTTCTCCTCCCTCTCATCCTCTCCAGTACCTCACCTATCTCACCACAAAGAGGAATATCTGTACCCACCCAGGGATTCTTCTAATACCGAACCATATCCCAACGCATCAAATTCTTTTCATTTCCCTTCTCCTCCTCCTCCTTTGCAGCCACCATCCCTTTCTTCGCATGTGAGCTGAAGGCAGTGAGTCCTTACAGAAGGGGCTTTATGTGTGGGGACCCCAGCATCACCTATCCTCATCTGCACCGAGAGGCCATACCAGATGAATTACTCATCACCGGTGGCATCGTCATCACCGGCCTTACAGTGAGTGCACATCATAGCAGTCACCTTGTTACTCAAACTGTATGTATACCATGTCCCAGCTTGTGAGGAGGATAGGGAGACTGTAATATGGCGGTTGTGTGTTCACACCAGATCGTCCTCGGGGAGTGTTACAGGGTACGCTTCCGAGGCGTCAGCTCCAAGTCCTTTGTCAGGAACCTGTACGTGTCCTGTCTGTACAAGGAGCTGGGCTGCTTCCTGTTTGGCTGCTGCATCGGCCAATCACTGACCAACATGGCCAAGCTGAGTGTGGGCCGGCTACGACCACACTTCCTCTCTGTGTGTGGGGTCACTTATGCATCACTCAACTGCACGCCAGGAAGTTATATTGCAACAGTGACCTGCCGACAGCCAGAGGAAGAGGAAGAGGCGAGGTATGTATGTATGTATGTATGTGTGTGTGAGTGTAAATTGTGGTATAATTAATAATATAATAATATAAGAAGTAGGTATAAATTGAACTTATAATGTCATAAATATTTCTCCACGTTTGTAGGAAGTCCTTCTTCTCTGGCCATGCTTCCTTTGCCATGTACACGATGCTCTATTTAGCAGTGAGTATCTCTATCTGTCTACTACTCTGTCTTTCACACACACACACACACACACACACACACAAACACCGGCAAACCCAATTTACTGTCTCTCCAATTTCCAATTACCATCCCTGTATGAAATACAAAGCGGGAGTGAATGAAACGGGGACCCATCATCAGTCCAGTTAGCAGCAGAACGAGGGAGCATGAAAGAGCAGAGGGAGGAAGAGAGGAACTGAATGGAGGAATGGGACAAACAGGGACAGCTTTGTTCTGCTGTGGGAGGAGTGTGACCTTGCCTCACCGCCTCACTGCTCTCCTCTATTGTGTTCGAGTGTGTGTGTGTGTGTGTGTGTGTGTGTGTGTGTAAGCTCCTGCATTTATATGTGTATTTGAAACTTTGTGTTCATGCTTGCAAGTGCCTGCATACAGTATGTGAATGTGTGCATATCTGTGTGTGTGTGTGTGTGTGTTTGCAATCTCTGCTTGCTGATCTGTGATTACTTTCCTTAACTCTAATACTTCCTCATGTTTCTGTAGTGCTGTACTATGATTAGTAAAGGAAGGACTTACTGTAAGTGACAACAAAGTTGTTAATCTCCATTGTCATCAGAACTGGAGACATCAGAAGCTGCTGGAGGGAAAAATACCATTCTTCCAAAACATATTACTTCATTTGTTGTTTTGATATTATGGCGAATGGCAGTGTCTATTGTGCTGGTGTCAGACTTTGCTTGTGGGGAGTGGTCTTTATTTACATTTCATTTAGCTGATGCTGACTTACAATTACAATTAGGGCATTCAACATCTATGAGGGGCCGTTTTTTGGGATTCTGCATCTTGCCCAAGAACACTTCGGTAAGGGCTTCTGGTTGGAGGACAACTGCACTAGCCCCTCAGCCACAGTAGCTTTTCTAGTCTTGATGACCACTCAAAGTGCTTGACAGTATAGTTTTTGCCATTTACCCATTCACACACATTCATGCAAAGAGGAGCAAGCCACTGTCCTTCTGGTTAGTGGACGACCCGCTCTACCTCCTGAGCCACAGCCGCCCGATTCCACTATGATTCTCTTATTTGATTGGGTTGAGATCCACATCAGTTTCTTACTCCCCAAACCATTTTTCCTTATTTTTACCCCTGCCGATGTGGTTATGTTTTCACTCCTATCCTTTTCTTTGTTGTACGTTTATCTGTTTGTTTATGAACCAGATTAGATCTGATCTCAATATGCATTATGGTGATATGGTTGCCAATAAGTCTTAGCAGAGGAATACCTTCTCTGAGTGCTTTTCTAGTTAAATACATTCAACCCACCGTCATACCTAGAATAAAAGCCATTATTTCAACACTTAGATTTAATAAGTGAGGGAAGATAGTATTTGTGTTAAAAAAACGTGACTCATAGCAGCTCTGTAGTGACTGAACTTCAAGTAAATGTGGAGTTTGAGTCTGAATTAACAGTAAAGAGCTTTAACAGCAAATTAAAACAGCAGGAGATCAGGGAACATGCACTAATAAATGGTGAGATACTCTTGTAAAGACAGGGTAAGGTTGGAATAAAGGCTGTGATGATGACTGCACTGTTGCATTAATTAGCACTGGTTTGTTTTTGTGATGCAGTTTTACCTGCAGGCAAGGCTGACGTGGCGTGGGGCTCGGCTGCTCAGGCCGGCGCTGCAGTTCTTCCTGGTTTTGCTGGCGGTCTACACAGGCTTGACCCGCATCTCAGACTACCAGCACCACCCGTCCGACGTGCTGACAGGCTACATACAGGGAGCCCTCACTGCTTACTGGGTGGTCAGTATACCTCGTCTGCTGGTTTTTGTTCATCAGTGCAAGTCTGTTAATGTGTAACTTTACCCCTAAGGTTTGGATGAAGTGTCTCTCCCTGGAAATGAAAAACATGCCATTAGAATGCAGTGATGGGAAGTGGGGCTGACACTTACTTACACCCCCTCCCCAACCCCACACTAAAACACACACACATATATAACCCATAAGTTTGCTAGAGCTAAGTTAGTTATGAATCCAGTAGCATCACACACACTTTTCAACAGAAATGTCGTATGAAGTAGAAGGATTCTCACCTGACGTTTCCTGATGAGTCGTCCCAAGCCGTTTGAGTTTCAGCATTGATTTGAAAAGCTCATGATGTAGAGACATCGTATGTTAGCATCGGTCCTACAAGGTCCTAGATGATTTGAAACTAAGTTGTGTTATGAGCCATGTTCAACCCATGTAGATTGTTTTCTTCTATTTTGGTAATAAAGCTGATACTAAAACCAGCATGTATGTATTTCGTCAAAGAGCAGATATATAATCTAGTTGACAGCTCAAAAAAGACATTTTGACTTGCAGTAACCCGTTTCTCTCTGTGTATTCTCAGGCCTTCCACATCTCCTCCATGTTTAAAAGCTCCAGTTCAGCCCTCTCTCCAACTGAGACCCTGGACACCCCCCTGTCACCCCACCACACCGTCTGCTAAACCTGGCCCCCACCACCCCCCGACTGCCGGTACCAACATCCACCTGCTGCCTACAGTCTGCCTCGGATAAACAAGAGATGTGAAGAATGTGAGACCATTTCCTGTGAAGTCCAACCACATACCTCAGTGCTCAGACAGAGAGAGAAACAGTGAAAGGACATATGAGCTGTGAGAAAGGAAGAGGGAACGAGCTGAAAACTCCAGCGCCTGCTCCGCCAGAGTGTTGCATAATCAGCATGAGCACTTGACCTTTTGTCCTTGTGAATGACCTTAACATGTGATACTTACCTGTGAGATGAGACTGAACACACACAGCGACCACTACCACTCGAAACGTCACCTGTAAATATATACAGATTTTGTACAAATCGAATGATACTGTAAAAGCACTTTTATCCATGTTAGTATTACTAATTACCACTTTAAAATGATTTGCTATGTAGAATGTATTTTATACAAATGTGTATCTGATTTCTTTTATTTTCTACATAATGCCATTGAATATGGTTGGGTTGTTGAAGGAAGCACAAACAGCAAGAAAGCAATTTGCTTCCCTCGTGTATTGTACCACTTCGATGTCATATTATGTAGTTTACTGATAAAAGAATAACTATGAGAATGTGATAGATATTGAATATAGAAGAAGAATGCATTTGCGACTAGTTTTTGGTTGGATTTATATTAATATGTACAGCATTTTTCTTGGCTACTCACTATTTCAAGAGCACACTGATCAATAAAGAAAAAGGCAATTTTCTTAAAAAAAAGGGACTATTTTAGTTCACTTTGTGTCTTTTACTCAAATACAATTACATAATCATTTTGAGAGTAAAGAATTAACATCTTAATGCATATTCTTTTAAAAGACCATCACTCTACGTCTTGCAGTTAAACCAAAACTATGAGCTGGAAGAGGCTATGCTCACAATTACACATCATCTGACTGATTTGTATTATTATATTATGTTTTCAGGTTGTCCATCCATCTGAAGGTCCCATTCCCGTGAACACAATCACTCATGAGCGTCTTGAGGAAATTTCTTCATTTCATTTGGACTGGATACTCATTAGAATTAGATGGTCTAATGGACTTTGCTGGTCAAAGGTCAAGGTCACTGTGAGGTTTTTGGTCTGAACGCAGGAAGGTCTCAGGAAGGGAATATCAAATTTAGTACAAACGCTCATTTTGATGAATTGATTCAATTCTTGTGGTCAAAGGTATAAGGTCAAGGTCATGGTGACGTCCTGTTCTTGTGAACACGATATCTCAAGAACACCTTTAGGGAAATAAAATATTTGCCACTGGTAATTTGAATAATGAGTATAATTTATGTGATGAGTCCACAACAAAGGAGTCCAACATCTAATTATTTAGCAACAATAGTTTACCATAGCTAAACCTTACTTTACTATTTTCACTCATGTATATGTATACTCCTCTGACTTGTTTTTTAACTGTAATTTTCTTCTTTTCCGAAGACAACACTAAGGCCAATAAAGCTATTTAAACAGCACCATGTAAAAAAAGTATATACAGTTTCTATATGTTTTTTTCATCAACAGATGTAGCACAAATACACAGGTCCTTAACTGAAGTAAAAGTAGTAATACTTTTGTCCTGCAAACTTAAGTTGTGCAAAAGTATAGGCTATTTTTATATATTTTATACTTTTAACCTCAAAGTATTTAAAAAGTTAAATATCAGTCAAATATCCCCTGTCAGAGATAGTGTGCATACACAGTATGTATTTAAAGTAAAAGTTCCTCAAGTATGCCAAGAGATTTAAAGGAAGTATGTAAATTTCATGTTCTCCATCGTTTCTACTGTCATTCTCCTTTTTCTGAAACCCTCCATCTCTCTGTACATCCACACAAAGACCAAAACATTTATTTCACATGTTTACTTGAACTTCAATAGCAATACAAGACAATCAGAACACTTGAGGTCGATATGTACAAGGATCTCAGGGGGTTGCAGAAAAGTTCTGAGGTTTTTATATGATCTCTGGCTCCGTAGTCAAGAGTTCTGTTGCTATGACAAACTCCACGGCAACGAGTTCCATCACCTGGCAGGTGGAGGTTGAAGGAGGAGGTGTTTGAGGGGGGCGGAGGTTTTGGTCTTATTGTGAAATGGGATTGGTCAAGAGTTCAAACTCAGTAGCAGGGGTTTGTGTGTAAGAAGCCCCCCAGTTGATATTGATAAAATGCTTCACTGTGATACATTAATTATACAAGAATGATGTATATATACACACACGCACACACACGCTCATACACACACACGTGCCCTTTCACACACGCATGCTCATCAAGCAAGACACACACACACACTCGCACATATGCATTCAGCACTTCCCTCCTATGGTATGTAGCCTCGTAAAGCCACTATAAAGTCATGCACATGTTCTTTGAAAGGATTTTTTGGCAACACATTAGTGCTTCTTTGACACACTGTTTGCTTGCTACAGGGAGGGGGCGACACCCAGCCGATGAATCCATAGAAACGTAGACTATGGGCCAATAAGGATAAGCACTGATGAGACGGGAAGACACAGCAGGGTTTCAGGAAGGAGAGGAGCGGGAGAGGAAGAGGAGGAGGAAGAGTTAGAAATGGATCACAGTCATAGAAAAGTAACAAAACATGGAGAGGGGGGAATCTCGTGGTGATCAGGAGATAGAAGCAGGGAGGAGCCATTGCTGTCATTTTCATCTTCGGTACCTTCTTCATCCCTCCTTGGCATCTTCTTCATCATCATACGCATCATCATTTCCATCAGTTTGATCATCATAATCATCATTTGTTGTTGTTATTATCGCCATCGTCCTTCTCCTCCTTGGTTTCTATGCCCCGATCACCACCGCCCTAGTCACAGGCTGGTCACCCGCTGCATCTGTCCATCGTCTCCCTCAGAGGTGGGCTCTGCAGTGTAAGCTGCGTCTCCATTGGTTGCCAGCGGCGGCGGCTGGTAGAAGGTCTGCAGGTGATTGGGCCGTGGCCCCAGCGGGGGTCGCCCCAGGCTGTAGGGCAATTCCAGGGCGGGCCGCTGGCCGGCAGGGCTGACCTCCTCCGGACCTTCAGGGCTGCTGTCGGGGTACGAAAGTGTCGGAGGGGAGGTGCGGGTGTAGAAGCGAGGAGGGGAGCTGCTTCGGCTGTACACCTGGGGGGAGTGTCGAGAGTAGAGGTTGTTGGGAGGTGAGTTGGTGTCTCGTGGAGCGAAAATATTTGTCGGGGGAGAGCTTCGGGGGAAGATGCTGAGTGGCGGCGAGCTTCGTTCCCCCGGGTAGAGTGGGGAGGGGTTTGAATCTCTGGCGTAGATTGGTGAGGAGTCAGGATCAAGGTCAAGATCAGGGGTCAAAGGCAGAGCAAAGCTCTCTGAATCCTCCCGCTCGCCATGATACCGAAGAGACCCTCTATCTTTCCCTCTTTTTCTCCCATCTAAACCTCCATCTTTGCTCTCAAACAGGAAAGATTCCTCCCTGTCTACATCCATCCCTCCTCTCCACACGTCCAGTGCTCTATCCTTCTGTTTCTCATTCTCTCGTTCAACCCCTGCCCTCCATCCATCTCTGTCTTTTAAAAACAAGGTTTCTTCCTTCTCTCTCTCCATCCCACCTCTCCATACCTCAATCCCGAAATCTTTCTTCTGGGTTATGAAAGTCTCTTCCTTCTCCGCCTCCGCTCCTCCTCGCCACACCTCCAATCTTCCATCTCGCTTCTCCAACAGATGAGGTTCATCCCTCCCTCTTTCCATTCCACCTCTCCATTCATCAATCTCTCCGTCTCTTTTCTGAGAGGTAAAAGAATCATCCCTCCCTCGCTCAGCTCCTCCCCTCCATTCCTCAATCAATCCGTCCCTTTTTAAGTGAAATGTCTCCTCCTTTTCTCTGTTCTGGCCACCTCTCCACGCCTCCACACCTGCCTCCCTCTGTTTCGACAGCAGCGGCTCTTCCAGAGCCTTGTACAGGGGCTCAGACTCCTGTGGGGGAGGGGGAGGAGGAGGCGGAAGGGGCCTGTCCCTGTATCGATCCCAGTCTCTCTCCCTTTCTCTCTCTCTTTCTGTCCCTACACTCGACTCCACCGTGCCGCGGTGGCGGGACAGAGTACCAGGGGTGCGGCTGAGTGTTGAGTAAGGCCGAGCCTGAACATCAGGGGGACGTGCTTGCTGCCTGTCCTGTAGCCCGCGGCGTCCCAGAGTGCCTTGCAGCTGCGACCTGTCCCCGTCTTTAAGCAGCTCACGGGACTCAGTATCTCCAGAAGTATATGCATGCGACCAGCCATCTTGTAAGCGTGGCGTTGTAGCATGATCTTGCCCGCGTGTTGTGGCATGTGTCTCGACGTCTTGTGTGTGGTGCCTTGTATGTGACCAGCCATCTTGTGCATTGTGGTGTGTGTTTGGCTGCATGGTGGCAGCCCAGCCGTCCTGGGCTGGCTGTGGGTGTCGAGTCAGTGTGGCAGTGTGCATCAGGGCCGCCCTATCATGGTGATGAGGCCTCGCCAGGCTGCCGTAGCGCTCGGGAGGAACCGGCATGGGGACAGAGGGCCTTAGGTTGCTCTGCACCAGCTCTGAGATGATCATCTTCTCCAGCGCTGCAGCGTCAGACAGGTTCCGGCGCATTCCAGCACTGCCCAGATCTGTGGCTCCGTGCGGGGTGAGTAGGGCTGGTGAGATGTCCTCCCCTCCGATACCGACTCCTCCCTCTCTCAGGAGGTCAGTGCTACCCACCACTCCGGCTCGGGACCCAGGTGTCGTCCCCAGACCATGCAGGGTGAAGGTGTTGGGGGTGTAGCCTCCGTTGAGGCACACACTGTCCAACCCACAGGACTCCTGGCTTTGGGACACGCCACCCTCTGTTAGGAGAAACAGGAGGACTACAGTTACAGCAGGACAGAGATGCAATTAAAGAATTACATGAAGCGATGCACATGAATGAATGCATGAGAGTGCAGAGTTTAGTTTTCCTGTCTCTAGTGAGGGTGCAGAATTACCAAGAAGATTCAGGTATTAACAATATTATTTGATGAAAATGTTCAGTGTGCAGGCACATGGAGGAGATGCATATTATGCTTTCATGGTCTATGAGTCGTTACTGTGTGCAAGTGTTGCACAGATCTATGAATAGAACAACAGTGCACAAGGAAGTGGCGCTCAATGATTTTAAGTGAGCACAATAAAGGAGCTCGTACTCTGCTTGTTTCTGAAGGTTCCTACTGCTCCACGTTAAGACAGAGAGACAGAGAGGGAGAGCATCAAAAACATGTAAAAAACAAACAGTTTGAAAAATGAAAATCAGAAAAGACAGACACAACAAAACATTTGCGCTTTAAATTGCAAACATTCCCAATGTACAGAAATTAAAGTGCAAAAGTCTTAGACCCTGTTTAGCCCTTTTATTAATATCCATCCTGAGTGATCCGATCACAAGTGTTCAGTGCTACATGTGTGAATGCACCAAGAAGAGTCCTGAGATCAGAGATCCAACAGTAAAACAACATCCGGAGTTGGTCTGTGACACATGCCACCACATTGTTTTCACTATGTGAATGCAAATGAATCCTGGACCACATGTGAAGGACCAACTACTCACCTGATTTTTACGCTTCTCAGTGACCATATGTCGTTTTTGTTTATAGCCATCACCTCAGTGTCCACACTGACCAACACATGATGACTGGTTCTCTTTTTCAAATGAGAAATAAATATAAGTAAAATCTTCTTTATAGTAGACCACGCTGCACATTCATCCTTTCAGCCCCCTTTCTGTCTCCACTCACTTGCTTTCTCTCTTCCTCTCTCTCTGTCCCTGTCTCTCTCTCATTCACATACACAAACACATCCATAAAAAAGACAGATTTGGTCTTCGTGAACACAAATTACATGTGTGAGTATTTGCGTATATAGAGCAGGGACATGAGATCTAATCACAAGTTGTCACCGGAGACACATTTTAATTGTGAACAGTGATGTCCACTTGTGATCGGATCTCTCAGGATGGATGTTAATACCAAGTCCAAATGGGGTCTTGCACAAGCTTACTGTGTTTTTAAAAGTAAAAGGACAGGCAAATAAAGCAACAGAAAGCAGAGGAGAGAGTAATCTGTATAGAAAAAATAAATAGAGAAGAGCAGCGAAAGAATCCCAGTAAACTGTACTGAGAGGCACCTGTGGAGGTGAACGGTTGATTGTATCCCTGGGCCAGCATCGTGTCATAGGGGGAGGCTCCAGCATGAGTCTGCAGCACTGGATTAGTGAGGAAGTGGTTTCCCAAAGCAGCTGAGGGTGGAGGAGAGGAGCGGGAGAAAATAAATGCCAAACATCCCTCACCCACAGGGCTGAGATTTAAAAGACAAATGAGCATGATCGTCACCTCGGTTGAGAGTAGGAGTGTTGTTCACATCTGCAGCGATGAAAGATGATTCGGTCTGCCGGCGAACGGTGTCGTTCCACATCCTCCTGATGCGACTCTGGGAGCGGAAAAGGTCACAAGAGGTCAAAACTGACTCAGACACACAGAGAGAAAGACAGAGAGAAAGAGAGAGAGAGGCGCATTGTTTTGTAGAGTACCTGTCTGTTTGCAGTGGCTCTCCGACTCTGGCTGCTCGTGTAGCGGCTGTTGGATCGGAGGGCAGAACCCTTCATCGAGTCCGGAGAGCTGGAAGAGGAGGTTGCACAGCACTGCGAGAGACGCAGGCATCGGCCATAGTCCTTCTGGCCCTAGTCGGAATATTCAAACATGAAATGTATGTGTTAAAACGTACATGATGACAGACAGGAGCAGAACACACACACACACACACACACA